AAGCAGTGGTATCAACGCAGAGTACTTAGTTGTTCGTTCGTTATAGAAACGCGCGCCACTGAACCGATCCGGCTGAAACTTCGCACGCGTATATTTTCGACCCCGGCGATGGTTTAGAGCTACTTTCCGTGGCGATTCGCCGAGCCATTCTATCGATTTATTGATTTGTTTACTCAAACCTAAGAAAATGAAGGGCCATCATGGCAACCGATCATTTTTACATATAAGCATGTAAGCAGGGGCGGTAAAGTCCATTTCACTTTTAAAGTTGGTAGGGTGCGGCAATTAGTCTGAAAGCGCTTTATGCGCGTGTTAGAAGAAATCTAGAGGCGTAAGTTTACAAGTTCTGTTGGCTTAACTAACTTGAAGTCTCGGGTGAGACCGGGGCCACCAGCTAGTGTTATAACTATTCATAATGTTGGCTAGCAATGGGGTCATTTGAATAAAAAAACGGATAGAACTTACATTGCTAGATTAAACAAACTCTTGTAAAATTTGTTGAACATTCAGATGACATGTCAATTTTTTTGACACAAGGCATGAAGCTGTAGCTTTCTCGCGAAACTTTTGACAAATTTGGTTCAAGGAAAGAAGCAATATTGTTCTTTTGAAAATGGGTTCGGATAACGGAAAAGTATGGTTTTTTTCAAAATTTTCCTTATAAAATGCTTTGAGGGTAGATAGAGAAAACAAGCAATACAACGCATATTTTTGGCATCTACAGCTTTCTTACTACAGTAGTATTTTCAAGATAATCTCCCCAGGACAGGGCCTGGCACCGGCTGGCACGGGGCAAGCTGGATATCGTTTTTGGGGAAAAAGCAAAGGGGGTTTCGTTTTTGTGGGCGAAGATATAGGCTAAATTGGCGACGACCTTTTTTTTAGTCGACATTTCATTTTTGGGGTGTTTTTTAGGATTTTAGAGGGGGTATCGTTGAGGATCATGAGGATCAAAGGGGACTTCGTAAAAATTCCCAAAAGTCAAGAGGGACTTCGTTTTGAAAATTTCCTGGTGCCAGCTCGTGCCGAGCCCTGCCCCAGGATCTTCACTTTTGCGAATACGTATCATAGACGAAGCAGGGCTCGGCACAGCAGGCTTACGGGGCAGGCTGGATATCGTTTTTTGGGGGGGGGGCAAAAAGAATGAGGGGTATCGTTTTGTGGGATCCAAGGGGGGGGGGAGAGGGAGAAACCCCGAAAAAATCCACGTATTAGCTTAGTGTAGTCGCAAGACAATCCCAAAACTAGATTCTAGATTTATACGCTTTATTAGGGTAAAATTCCATGGAGAGTTGGCCAACTTTACGCTTATGACTCAACAAATGTTTGCATTTTTTCCTCCGTACAAAGAAACTTATTCTAACTGTCACAGGAGTCGTACGGATACACACTCCCAACTTTCATCATCCACCTCCCACAATCACCACCCTTTTTAATTCCACCTTCTCATCTTCTGGAGGCGTTGCAAGTGCTCATCACTGCCCTCTCAATCCCATCCGCTACAAAACCAACAATTTTCCGCTGCAATAGGCTCTCCGTGCAAGCGCGGGAATTCAAAAAGTTCTCCGAAATACGGAAAAGTACCAAAGAAACTGCTGAAGCTGAACATGGTAAAAACCATGCGGATTTTCGGCTATAGTTTTAGTGACTACGAGACTACTAGTTTAGAAACATGACTAAAAAGCTTTGTAAGTTTTCATGATGGGTCTGAAAAACAGTGCGATCTTCAGACTGCCCTAGAAGAATATTTTTGCGTGGGTAATACTGAACAATCATTTCACATTTGCTGGAGTCTCTAAACGTTGGATAGCAAGATTAGGCGCCTCTCCCCTCAGCAGGTACGGTCGAGCTCTTTTGTGCCCTTTTTACGCAACTCGATCTACGAACACTGCACTTTCTAAATTGAGAGGGCCGCGTTGCCCTCATGCAGCAGCCTACAATAGAACTTATCAAAGAAGAGATAAGACCTAATGACCTTCAAGTAAGAGGCTTGCCCTTGATGCGATAATATCATTGAAGTTGTTGCAATTGATGCTTACAAAAATTCGTGGAATTTTTCAGGACTTCACAAATTTTTAACTCAACTGTTTCCTCTTCTCACACTTTGCAAAACACGAATCATTTATCCAGATAAAAAAGAACTTTCCAGGTTTTGGCAGTCTGGCATCTTATCCTGGAGAACTGAGTAAATATTGTCATAATCAATGTAGATGAGGGCTGTGCAGGAAAAATGGACACGAAATATTTTCGAAGGTATGAGGTAATCTACATTTAGCAGAGAACACCACATCGTTGTTTGTTTTTCGAGTTGTTTTCGTACATCTCACTCGACTAATTTTATCCATACATATGTAATGAAACCGCCAATTCCGGTTATGGTATTGTCGCCAATTTATGGGGCCACTAGTCACTTTACCCTTTTTTTATCGCTACAACAAGTAGATTGTGATATTGCAAAAGTTTGTAGTTCTCATAGTCTTTTGTCGAAGTATTATTTTACAATGATTGACAGCTATTCTTGCTGGAAAGAAGAGATAAGTGGTAAGAGATTTCGTCCAGAATGAATAGCCACCATATGCCTTACCAGTTTATCGCCTTGTTGGTCTGCTTATATGAACTGGTCTTCGCGATCAGTTTCTCGATCCAAACCGTGTTATTCTCGAGCGCTCATTAACTGTTTTGCTTTATCTCTTAACCAGGTATCAGCGCAGATTTGCGCTTGTATAGCTAAAAGCAAACTTTAGCTATCATTTCTTCTTCTATGATAATTTTAAAATTAAATAAGGAGTAAAAGGTACTACAGGTATTAGCGATTTTGACATTCATTTCTGACAAGATAATTTAGAATTTCTTACCCAGGAAATTGCTCCCATCTATTTGTACCTTCCAGAAAACTATGGATTCCCGTATGGGTTCATGCCTTATCCACCACATACCCGGTTACATGATTAAACGCCGTTGTCAAGGTTATGTCAACACCATTCGAACTGACCCGTTCACTTTTACCCCATCGACGTCATTGTTTACCGCAAATATCACGATGCAATCAAATTATGCAAGATTCTGCTAACGCGATGGAGATCAAAAATGTATTTTGAGGAAACTATACAATTTCAAATAATTTCAGCAGATTTACTTCATGTAGGGAAAACTCTCGAAAGATTGGAGAAGTCTTGTACAAAAATGCCTGAAATGCGTAAGTCTTTTTTGATTCTATGGATTCATTCAATCTTGTCAACCAAAGGAAAACCATGTGCTTTCTACTAGTCCAAAACCAAGAATTGTTGCTGTCTTTTTGCCAGTCACAGCAGCTATGAACAAACGATTAGATTTTCTTCGTTTAAAAAATGCTAGAAGGTCTAAGAACTTCTAATTTTACTTTTTGTGTTTATTTACTCTTTCTGAGGTGTACCACTGTTTCAAGAAAAATTGTAATCATGAGTTTCTTTTCTCAAGTTCCTATTTTGTTTGAAACAAAATTTTATGATTTATAATAAAATAATACATGTAATGAAGCAACGAAAAAACTAATTGCAGATCGAAACTATTACCTTAATATTTCAAGTAGATATATCATAGTTTCTTAATGCAAGAATTATTCTCCAACCTAATGGTAAGCAAGAAAGAACCAATCACTGTGAGTCAGCTATTTTTCGAGCTAACAAAAAATTGTTAAAAATGGTAAAAATAAAAGCGGTTTCTCCAAAATCAGTACTTTTTGTCCCTTAACTTCTCACCTACAGTCTTCAGAGGTCGAGAAACTTTTCTAAAGATATCAAAATACATGTGTCAGGTCTCTGATGCTACTTGATGGGTTTTCAACAACAAAACATAAATTTTAATTAATTTTTTGACCGAAAATCTTTGTTGCAGTAAGACTTAGAAATACTTACCTGCACAACATGGAAATTTTTGATTGATTTTATCGTTTCCAACGAATGTTGAGACCTTTTCTATTTTGAAAATTCGTCAAAAAACGAATTAGCACTAGAGACCTGACCCCGGTAGCAAATTCGATTTTTTCAAAGAAATTGAGAAAAGAATTTATGGCATCACTTGATAATAGAGTGACGAAGAGATATCATGGAAAAATGGGACGGGATCAAATATCGTTCTGAGTCCTTCAATCTAAATACTACGAAAATTCGATAAAAACAACAAATCGTAAATCAAAATGACAACAATTAGAAGCATTTACCCTTAGTGACTACTGAGATCTTCTGAAATGTACTCAACAGGTGCTGGATCGTCTGTTTTCTTTGTCAAAGTTGCGATTTTCACAACAATATGTGATCTTCCTTGGCCCTATTGTTCGATAAGCGCGGCGGATGATATTTTGCTCGGTTCCTGAGTTCAATAGCTGATGGAATGTGCTTCCGTTAGCCTCAGTCTACTCTCAAGTGCAAAACTCTTATTTTTTCTCAACTTCAGCTTTTTGTCACCTGCGAATGAGTCGAGATATGAGTTGGAAGAAATCGTGAGATAGCGCTCTCGAGAAAACTTTTTTTTGCCGCAAAAATCACACAGATTTCGCTCAAACTCAATTGAAACTTTTTATCCATTTCACAGTTACCTGACGATTCCCTACCACGTCCCTATACCAAGTTCAATGAAGCAACAGCTTTGAAAAAACAAGTATATTGTTTGGAGTACTATATAGCCCAGATAGATGCTAAACACCCCTATCATATTACTAAGTGTCCGCTTTCCGTTGGCTCCTCTATATATGCCGTTTTTGTTTTCAAAACAAAGTACGATTAATGTTTGCGTTTTGTTTTTGTGAATTTTGGATGCAGATGTGGACGGGATTTTCATAAACAAACATATGACATATTGTTTGCTATTGCCTCGAGGAACTGCTTCAGATTTTAGGCGTTTTCATTTTTTGTTCAACTTCTACTTTTGACAAATTTTTTCCACTCTTTTGGCAGGATATGTTTTAAGCTTCGAAATTTTAGGCATGACAACTGGGCGAATGTTCGTCTGTGCCTGTCTTGGCGTGGGCACATTCATGTGGTTATCCAGAACCCTCGATTCTGTGACGGCAGCCAATAGTTCGAATTACTACATTGGCGAGACCTCCACTCCAGCTTCTACTGGTCAGTTTCTGCCCTTTTTTGCCAAAGGGGGTCAGAAGTAGGGCTCGGCACAGGTGGTTCGTAGGCAAGCTGTATATCGTTTTTGGGACAAAAAGCAGAAGGGGTATCGCTTTTGAGGCCGAAAAGACACAAAAATACATAAAAATTGCGAGAAATTTTTAAGTCGAAGTTTCGTTTTTAAGGGTTTTTTACAGGGCTTGGGGTCAAAGGGGATTTAATGAAAATTCGCGAAAGTCAAGAGGGACTTCGTTTTTTGCATTTTCCAAAAGCCAACTCGTGCCGAATCCTGATCATTAGCGCAGAAAGATTATTGTAGTTACACTGCTCAGTCGTCTTGCGCTTTTCTGATTTTTCATATTTTTGGAAATTAATCAAACAAATAATTCGTTAATTTCAACTGTATATTGAAAGCATTAGATGGGGTCTAGGGCACTTATGAGGAAAGAAACTCGTAATAGATAAGACTGCATAATAGCACAAAATCTGCCCAACGCTGTGTTTCATGCTGGTCTGAGGTCTGAGCCAAGACGAGAATGTGCAAGATTAGCAAGTATACGGCCGGGCATACTTCACGCGATTCAGTCGCGACGCGATTTGGCAACTCGTCAGAAGCCTTCAGATCCAACACTGGCGAACTATACGAGCCTAGTGTGTATAACTCACGTAGAATGATAAAATGCCTTAGCCAAATCCGCCGCGATTGAAATCGCGTGAAGTATGGCTGCGGCCGCGTCGCTACAGCTGCCGCAACTCATCTATTGCCTGCGTCAATGAATTCTTTAGCTCGCAGTAACTTCTGAAGGAACGGAATAGGTTTTATGCTATTGTGTATTTACATTACGAGAAACTGCAAAATAGAAATGATAGTGGATTGAACTCAAAATCTCATTTCAATTCCGTTCCGGCTAGCTTGGATGGCATGCATCTGGTCAGCTGGTCTAATGATGACCTTGGCAGCTTTCGATTAATAGCTACATGCTCAGGTGGCGCTGGAATTGAGCTGTTTACACTCTTACCACCTCGTCAAATGATGCAAAAACATTCGCGCCACTGGAATGTCGACAAGGGCAGACCCAATCTCTCTTTCTGTGACATGAAAGTAAAACTGGCACATTTGGCAAAACAAATAGTATAGATCATTTTTACAATCGTGGCTCTGATTTGACTGCGGACTTTGCGCCCACAGGAGCCTAAAACACACCTATACAGAGCGGCACCACCTCAAAGCTCAGCTCAGTCACTTCCAGTGTCTGAATACTATCTCACGTAAGCAGAAAAACCACATAAGTATAGATGAAAACCAAGAAAATGCGGTTGTCGAACGTTGCGTGCGTGTCGCGCGCGGTGGCGGCATTGTCACGATTTTTCGAGTGGCCTATGGAGTTGTGGATATGAATAAGGAAAATGATAACGGTAGTCATGTAGCAGTTTGCTTATCTTTAGATTTTTTATATAGCAACCACTTCTAAAACAAACTCAAATGAAAAACAAAACAACTAAAATATTTAAGAATGTGGGAAGTATCTATTGTACGAGAAAAACTTTAAAAATATTTGCAGTTTTTACCATTTAGATCGGATCTAAATCTGACTGCCTCATGCCCCATCGAAGTTTTCAGGGATGCTAATGTATGCGGCCCTAGTGACCAAAAATCGAAAAATCAGAATTTTGACTTAACATCTATAGAAAGCATAGGATTTTCTCTCTCTATCATGTACCCAATCAAAAAATTTCTTCAAAGCTGGAGGAAGTAATAAAATTTCAGAAATTCTAGTGCAAGAACTATGCATCAATCTAATAGTACTTATGCCTTCACTGGATTTTTCCCGCTCATAGAAAGCGAGAAATAAAGATACTCCAAAAATGGCAAACTCCGCCTCCCAAACCCTCCCACGTATACTACGCCTTACTAAATATAGTCGCAACTTCAACTCTGTATGTGCTCTCATAACCATCATCTAGACTTACTTCCTTATCTTTATTTTCTTGTAGAAGAAAACAAGACCGCTAGGCGAAGCTCATTTGATATATGCATACTGCCAGAATTCGATCCATGGGATGCGCAAATAATACCGGTAGGTTATCGTATTGCTTGTATCCATAAGTTTGCTAACTAAAAATTTTAGTACGTCAATCTAGACTACAATCCATTGAAAAAATGTAATCGAAGCTACAAACCAATGACGACGCTGAAAAATGGCATAGTTACAATAAACGAGAAAAATGCTTCATGTCAGGGGAGGTAGGCGCTTAAAGAGAATTATAAATCCCCTCTATTTGTTTATTTGATAGTAACAATCATGCTTCAAGGAATGCTACAAATTTACTAGACCTATTAATTTTTGGTATCCAAGTCCTTCATGTTTACATGAGCCGCATAGGCACTCATTTTAGGGATTTACATTTTTAAGAACCTGTTTAATTTTGATTGTAGATCATTTGATGCACAAGATACTGCAATACAAAAAGATCCGAAAACTTGTCTTGACAACCTTACTCTGATTATTTACTATATGTCAAAAAATTATTAAAGATAGGAAACAAGTTCAATTTTTTGTGGAAATTTCTATGATTTTTGAAATTTTCTGTATCTACTGCTGCAGAATAGCTTGAAATTCAGTAACTCCTTATACAGATACGTGTCCCATAAATCCCACATATTTTGTGTATTGCATGTCCCATAACCCAATTATTTTGTGCGTTTTCCCAATAAGAAGCATTTTTCGTTTTTCTCCATGCTTGCTTGAGTGCACAAGAGAAAACTAATAATTGCCAAAGTAAAGCAATCAGACAATGAAAATTATAATCTTTTTGCAGAAACAGTTTTTAATGACAAAGTATATCAAAAAATGATTTTACTAGTAGATAAAAAATGGAATGAAATGTGTATTATGACGCAAAAAATGCATCAGATTCTGAAAAAAACCTGACGATAAAGTACAAAAAAATTTTTTCAACTCAGACGACGAATAATGATGAAGCAAAAATGAAAAGAGGTATAACAATCTGATCAGAGGACATCTGCGTAGTTTCTAAACAGATTTTATTCTTTCATTCTAGAAATATTTCGCTAATTGTTTTCCACGTACAATACACGATACCTCGCTAAGATTCCAACACTACTCCATTCGACAAGAATAGAAAGTGGAGCCGTGATTGCTTCAATCATATTGACTTTCTCATTAATACTAATCTTTTTTATTTTTTAATTTTGGAATTTTTTGACATTTCCTGCTATGCGTTGACACCCTAAAACAGTAAAATCTTGATTGTAGTCAGAATGGCCGCACCCTTTACTCGAATTTCAGATGTTTGACACGGTTGGGTGAAACGAAGAACAGGCATGGGAAATGGATAAACGTAGACGATGCTGACTTTCGATGTGATATCGTGGAAACGACTTGCTCAAGAAAGAATGGAAATTCCTCTTATCGTATGGTCCATGCGCAAATTATTGAAGTGTAGGTACCTAGCTTCCACTAGAAAATGACTACCTTACAGTTTCTAGTGGAAGCTTTTTATGTAAAAAATTTTTTAGGAACGACACGAAGACGAAAAAAATAGACGAAGACGGAAATCTTCACAGTGTCTATGTCATCTTACTCGATTCAACAGCACATACACAAGGTATAAGGTACGGGTAGATGTATCAGTCAGTTGTGAGCAGCAAACTCGTGCAGTTGCGGACTTGAGTAGAAAAGTAGCAATGTGCTTATGCAACGCAACTCAAAGGCATCGATGTTACGTGGCCGCAGCATGCTTTATTGCGGCCAATGATTCTATTGTTTTTACAATTGTAAACTAAAAATGAAAAAAAATGCTCCAGGAATCTGCCACAAACAATGCATTTTTTCGAAAATTCTATGCAAGCCGTAACCTTTCCACATATAAACAAAGTTGGTTTGAACAGTCGACCAAATGGAGTGGCACTGTGGTTTGGTAAGGAAAAGTGAGGAATATCATGTGAATTTTTGAATGCGAAATTCTTAGGAAAACGGCTGGAAGCAGTTAACAGAAAATTATTTGGATTACCCGACATTCCACCAGACTGGACATACGAACATTATTGTAAAAGTTTTCTGGACAATGATACATTTTTGTTCAATGAGTTCTCTGACCGAGGTTACAAGGTATTCACATAGCATTAATAGAGCAAAATCTACAAAATGTGAAGTAGAAATTCTTCAGACCTTATTAGCCGAAGACTGGATGAAAGGAACTCTTAATTGGCCAAATTGTTGGGGATTCAATAAACAACCGACAGATCATTACATGAGGTTTTACTTTTTTTACAGAATGATTTCTTTTTTTGGCAAGTGTGCAACTTTATTAGACCTTTCCAAATTGCGCTGGAGAAAGATTTAACCGAGGATTTGAAAAAAACGTACAGTAGCGCTAACTGTATCGAGCAACATAAGGACATACTCATTTGGTTACAGGATTTCGTAAATTCTTATGGAGGTAGGATGACAAGAGAATACTTTTTAGAGGTCACATTTGAATTTTTCTCCAGATACGCCAAAATTAGGCTGGATTTGGCTCTCACTGCTTGGTCATGATCATGAAAGCGGTACCATCCATGCGGATCCAGACTTTTTCCGTTTCCTTCTTCATAATAAGAAGAAGGTTGGCGAAAACAAATCAGTCGTACATTCTAAATTCTATGTTTCAGCTAGATGACTCCTTCGTCATCATTCTAGGAGACCATGGATTGCGAGGTGGAAGGGTAATAGTCTCTTCTATGTCTATATTTTGATCTTAGCATTTTCATCGTGCTGCAGGTAACTAAAACTGATCTTGGAAGCTTGGAAGTAAACAACCCCATGTTCTCCATCTCTATACCAAAGAAACTTCGAGAAACTACAGATATTCTTGAAGTACTTCGCGAAAACACAGCTCGACTTCAAACAACTTTCGACATTCGGGCTACACTGCTCGATATTTTAAAGGTAAGATGATTGGTAATATCTGAAGCCAGTGGATGGCCGCTTTTTGAAGAAGTTAGGAAAAGGATAGGCTAGTAGTCACACGGCGACAAGACAAATCAATAGATACCCGTGCACCGCGACTAGAAGGCGTCGCCAGCGCGCCGCAGCCGCATCACATGTAGCTTATCTCAGAAACCAGATCATATGTAAATTTATCATTCATTTCCCTATGTGCTCTGAATTGTATTTGATTAGATTTAGAGTTTTCATTAGATTTATTCTGCTTATTTACCCATTTGTAATTTGATCTACTTGTTGCTCACTGACTGTCGCACGATTTCCATCTGGGGGGAAGGGGAAAAAACTTTATTTGAATAAAAGTGCGTGGCGTTAGTCACAACTCCGAAAATATCTTGGGACGCTTTCCAAAATTTTTGCAGCCCTATAAACCCGTGGAAAAGGGGTGCGGCGGCATCACACTGCAAGAGATTTTTTTTAACAAGACTAATTTGAACTTTCAAGATTATATATTTACTCTAACAAAACGAGTCACTTGCACATTTTCATAATGCTAAAAACCTCTAGAAACCCCTTCTTGGTAAACCACAGTTGTTGAAGTTATTTTGAAAAATTGTCATTTTTTCCATGCTCAAATGATCAGTTATTATAGTATCAACCAGCTGTGAATTACACTGATCGAAATTATATGGCTATCAAAGGCGAATACGGTTCATCACTGATGAGAAAACAACCTGCTGAGGAGAGAACTTGCAAAACCCTTTACGTGCCTCTCTCGTACTGCACATGCCAATATCCACTTGAGGAGGTGAAGAGGTGAGCAAAACTTTTGTTGCTATAGAAATCTGTTTTTATTCAAAAACAGAAAATAATATTAGCATGATGCATGGGTCCTGTAACAAAAAATCTGGAATTTGTTCAAAAATTACTTAAAAGCCTAACCAAAAGCCTAATTAAAGGACGCTATAATTTTTATACCTTATAACGAATAATGCATCAAATACATGTACTAGAAATTTTGGTTGAATCAAAAACAAAAAAAGTTATCAAAAATATCCGGTCAGCGATATGCTCTAGATTAAATGAAGATTAGAGAAACAAATAGAAAGTCTGTTTTAGTGTTTTAGTAATTTTAGCGACCAAATCTTGAAAAAACAACTTTCTGAGTGTTTCTTTTGATCAGCTCGTATCCTTGTCATATGCCAAGAATCAAATAAATTCCATTCAAGAACTTCTGAAAAGTGCTAAATTTCTTCCTTTATTTGTATCAAATCAAGCGATCGCAATGAAGATGGGGAGAATAATGATGTTATAGAAATGTTGTCGCAAAATTTATACATTTTCTGCGTAAAACTGAATTTTAGAACGAAACAGGTGGCAACAGATGCCGGAAAATACCTTGTGAAATACATCAATGAATTTCTCGAAGAGAAGAATATGTCTAGAATATGCGAAAAGCTGGTGTACAGACATGTAAGAATTTGCGCCTTCAAATTGAGAGTATTCAAATTTTTGACTAGCAAATTTAGACAATATCGATCTCCGCATATGTGCCGGAAGAAGTAACGAAAACATACCAAGTTTCGGTGAAAGTAATGCCGCCATGCGATGGAGAATTCAAGGTAAGCAGCATACTGAAGCTAAATAGAGTTTTTTCCTGAAGGAGAGATAGAACAAATGCGAACCAATATATATTTTGTAACGTCTAATCAAAATTGAAAGTTCGTTTATACATTTCGTGAGAACTATCTATAATTTTCACTGCATGCTTTTTGTGCAGAGTTAACTCAAATCGCCGGGGGCAGGCGGACCGCGGACTCGCGCTTTCTTGCGGGCGGTCAGCAAAATTCTGGGGTGTGGTCAAACCTTCATCAAGCGGTACTTTCTGTACTGTCCCATGTTTGTACCAGCGGGCAGCAATACAGAATTTTCTGCGAGCGGTCGACAAATAATTTCTTTGAGCTAGCGCCCGGACTCTTTTTACACAGTTTCGGGCATATGCCGAGCAAAGGTAAGACTCTATATGGCAGAAGAAGGAAGGTTTGATTATCCGAGTTGGGATACTTTTCCTTAAAGGAAAGTACCCGTGGGCTGCGCGGTGCTCCATAAACGACCGTGCGGCCCTCAACAATTCTGCATATTCTCGCGAAAAGTTCACAAGAATGCAGCCACTGCGCAGCAATTTATATATGAAAAAGCTGCGAATGTTCCCTATCCGTTCGTCTAAAATGTGGCCAACATTATTCCGAATGTCTGCAGACGGACCGCAACAAATCAGCGGACTATTTTTCCGGAGCCCGCTTGCCTATGAATTGCATGACCGCCTACCCCAGCGATTTTCTGAGTGTTCTAAACTTTTCTCTCTATTTGCCTTCCTTTTCTGATCTCCTTTTAAACTAAAACAGACGTTTTTGTAGGCCGTTGTTCGACAAACAAATGGAAGTTATGAGATGGCCACCGGGTCCGTTGATCGGATAGATCGATATGGAAGCAAAGGAGACTGTGTTGAAAGCTCCAAACACCTTTGTCATTGCAAGGTTGAACAAAAGAAGAAAACCGTGAAGAGAACTATAAAAAAATCTTGACCTGCCTTGCTCACATTTTCAATATCCTTCTTCTCATCCTCATCACGGATAATGTCTTTCACTTTAGAACTTAGATCGAGTAGGGTATACGCAATAATAATGACAATGTTGGTACAAAATTCACTTGCATGTTTTACACTTTCCAACTCATTTGCTTTTAATAATGAGATTTTAACTTCTTCTGCATAGCAAAGTTTCATCGAATTAATGATTTAGCTTTGCTAGCGGTTATACCTGTGATTAGTGACGGGTTACTGCTGTGATACTACGCATATCTCAGCTGTAAGTGCCATCAGTACTGCAATCCGTTTATGTACGACTTGATATGATGCGAAAAAAAACCTTTTACCATTTAATAAATGATCTTACTATTGTCTAAGTCAACATTGCAGTTCTTCGTTCGCTCTCTATTCACAAAGGAATGCAATAGAACAAGAATAAAGACTAACATGAAAAAATCCCGACTTAGGGTGGCGAATTGGAATGAACATATGATTAGATGCGTCTTTACGAGCTGATTCCAAATCTGCCTTCCGTATCTGCGATGCCGTTCTCTGGAAAAAGTTATGAGCGGTAAGTAATGTGAAGTCATTGGGCTTTCAATGCATAATGTGCTTCAAAATCCAACTTGGGAGTGCATGACTGGCATGATATTGTGTCACATTCAAGGGAAACACAAATAAGTGTTCTTTAACAACTAAAAAACAACTAAAGTCCTTTGGTGAAAGCTATGAGCAATGAAAAGTCCAAATTTGGCAAATATACAGCGCCATACCTCGAGAATTACTTTATCAAAAACACTTATTTGTGTTTTCCCTGAATGTGAACATTCCTTGAAATTAGTACACTCAATATCATGCTATTCATGCACTCCCAAGTTGGATTTAGGAGCACATCATGCACTGAAACCCTATTGACTTCACATTTTAACTCATAACTTTTCCCAAAGAACGGCATCGCAGATATAGATGATAGATTTGGAATCAGTTCATCAAGAAGCACCTAATGATATGTTCCAATCCCTAAGTTGGGATCGTTCCGTTGTTAGTCCGTTCCTGATGAGAACACAAGTATACACACGTTTTTGCAAACAGTAATTACGAAGTTTTCTATTTTCCTCTGAAAGCATGTCTTTTTTTTTCAAAATCGTTTACAAAAAGTTGCGATGTGCCCTGCGATTTGCAAGGATGTAAGCAACCAAATTTATTTTACAATTCGTATAGAAGTAGCAAATCCTTCGAATCATAGAGGCATTTGTAGATGAAATGCCGTCGAGCAGGCGGTTCCCTCGACACCGATTTTTAAGTTACGGCACTCCAGACCTGGTAGTTTTGAGGAGTCAGAGAGGGAAGGAGGTCGTAATCGACGTGATACTGATTAGCGATAACGTGCTAATTGTTAGCAGTCAGTCAAGCCCAGTACGCAAAATACAAGCACACTGAGGTATTGCTCCATTATCGTACACGTGCAGTAACCATAATAACGAAGTCCAACCAAGCATAATGAACGTCATTTTCGTATTTAACATGTCAAATGGCCCCTTTGGATCAAGTTTTAATCAATCTCGAGGTTTCCATTGTTGAGCCACTCAAGTGCAATGATTTTTTCAGAATACTATTATTTATTTTGAAAGTGAATTAGCCATCTTTTTTGTACTCAATACGAAGCATTACTCCTTTTTTGGCCACATGAAAAAATTGCATTCTAGATATATAGACCCTCCAAACGATGGAGTTAGAAGCCAGCCAAAATTTCGATTGGCTCATTTTCGCTTTCAATGATTGTGCTTTTAACAGCTATCATAGGCTCAAATCACTCTTGCGGAAACCATGAAATCTAAGCTATCAAAAAATATTTTTTTACCACTTCCTCGCATAACACGCAGTATCGCGTCCTTAACATACTACCTAATCAATATTCATTTGCTATGAACATAAAGTATTGGAAAAGATTTTTCATCAGAAGTAACGATTTTAAAATTTTATGCTATAAAAAGAAGAAGATATAGCAGTCTAAAAGATATAAAGGGATTAGAAATACAGGCGTTCGAATGTTTTATTCGATGCGGACCAAAGCATAGTTCACTCGCGACTGGAAATTCATCTCCAAACCGAACCGCTCTACGGTGTCGGTCGGGTGCTTGCGTCGACTTGCTTTTGCGTGGGACCACCCCCGATGGTCTTCGGCAAAGCCCTGCAAGCATATTCAAGTTGTCCGCCAAAACCGTAGTGGTGATAGGTGCACATTAGCTTCGAGCCTACCGATTGGTAGGCTCCACCAGAAGTCGCCATACCGGCTTACAAAAAAGAACTTCAAGTATCAGCGACCCATACGATTTTCACGAAGCATTGATTCAATTATATGTGTTTTGGGATCCGGCTCTCGTGAATTCGCTGAACTCAAACTTCGCAAATTAGCGAGGTGGGTTGCAAAGAAATTTGACTTTTTTTAATGTTGCAAAGTTTGCATGAAGCAGCATTGATATATCGGCAGTAGTTCGGTATAGCGCAACCTCTTAAATGGCCACGTTATGTTGGTATGAGCATTGCTGACGTTTGCACACGTATGCGTGTGGCAGTAAGCAATGCTTTAGAATGGAGTTCATAAATGTCTACAGTCCGCTAAACGTATGGGAGTCGCCTACCTATCTAACAATAAGTTCAAAAAAGCTTCCAGCAAGAGGACTTGCTAACCAAGTACTTCTGCATTTTCAACTTGTCCGTCCAATATGTCGTACGTTTTCCATTTCTATGATTCTGTAGTCTTATGTCAACCAAAACATGGTTTGTGGAAACCTTGTGCAGATGTCGTAAATTGAGAATTGTAAAGGAAAAAAGTTGAACAAAATCACAAAAATGCGAAAAATGCACATCGTAAGGACGCCAGAGGCCTTCGAATAGACGTCAGTGGGCACGTGGGCACCCTGCTGATGATAGGGGCTTTTTTAGATAAAACAATCCAGCGGAGGAGGGTATATGAATACCATTTGTGGGTCAGCCTACCTATTGGGTTCGTTGGTTAATTTTGGCCACTAAATTAAGCCGCGATGAAGAACGCGACGTCTCAGCAGGAAAACTTTCTGTGAAAATCTCAGCTCGAACCCGGTCGATGTATCATGAGTGCTTCTGTAACCAACGTGCTCTCTTATCTCTCCCCCTCATTCTCCTCGCTCAATTCCGTACAAATTCTATCTCAGCTCAAAGTGTAATGGCATTGAAAAATTGGCAAATGCATTAAGTATGGCAAATGCAATAAGTAGTCTTCCAAATTAATGTTTTCGTACATCATGCTCCTTTACCTCTACGAATTTTCAAACTACCGTGCTCAAGCACGTTTTTGACGTCGTTCTGGACGGCGCTCAAGCGGTTTTTTTCGCGGGAAAAACTGTGGAAGAGGTAGGAAGTAAGTTTCTTAATCGAAAACATCTTTTGTAGTTCAAGAATGTCATTTTTTCTCCGTGCAAAAATTTGTGTCGCCTACGGGAATCGAATTTGCTGGCCTGAAGTATCCCTGAAAATTCAAAAAAAAAACTTGCAGAATCTCAAACAATATTAAAGGTGTGTATGTGTGCTACAGATGATGGACGCACCCATTCCCAGAAATTCTGCTTCCGAAACCTCACTGAAGTTCTCACGCAGGTGTTTTTTGAGATTGACATTTGTCTATGCAGGTTACCGCGAGGAATGTGGGCAGGGGAGGTAAGAGGGATAAATGCAGGAGTGAGGGTGGGGGGAGGGGGAGGGGGGGGGGGTCGTAAATGAGGGTCCCGGATCGCATCAGCACTCTTGACCCTGCTTGCGGGTTGTCCAGGAGAGTCAATGTTTTCGCAGATTCTCGACTTCATTTCGGGATCAGGGACATGAAAAGGCCGCAAAAAGACCAAAACATGGAAGTTGAGAATCTGGGTGGACGGTGCCATTTGTGAGCCGTTTGCCCGCTAACCATTTTTCCGGTTGTGCATGCAATCCATTTAATAGTAATCAAAGCTTTGAAAAAAAGATTTATCAGTACGCCGAGAATAAGCTGTGTCGAAATTCTGAGTGCTTCTGTGCAGGAAATCTTCTAAATCAAAGACGGCAATAAAATTGAACCACTATCAATTTATAATCTTCCTTGACTTTTTCGTAGTCGTGCCTTTCTTTTCGGTTATAGTTCTCATAGTTGTGCTTTTCGTTTGGTTTATACATTGACAAAGATGCTTGAAGTTGGTGACGCAATCTCCCTTGTTGCCATAACGGTCGCGCCGATCAACTGTTCCACTTGCCATCTCAAATGTCGTTCTATTCACTTGTCGAACAACAGTCTGAAACACCGCAATCTTTTTGTAATAGAAAAGGATATGGAAGGAGAGAAGAAACGTGCAAGAATCACAAGCTTATTTTGTAACATACTTTTTTTTCAAACTCAAGTGGACAAAACTGACAACAAATCGGCACTGTACACTATTTACACGTTTCCGAATGCAAATCACACAAAACAGCATGTATATTCAACTTATCACGGGAAGAAGACCAATCTTTCAAATCACTTACAATGTGATTTCTATCGAAATGTCAAATAATTCCATGCGCTCTGTAGAAAGATAGAAGCAACGAATCGGCTTCAAATGGTCTCTGAAGCTGCTTTTGACGCGCACAGATCACACTGCTAGCAGGATCAAGAGTCTTCTTCGTGAAACTAACAAAGGAAGTCGTTTTAGTCGAAGAGGCCCTCCCAGATGTCACCTATATCACTAGATGCACTTTGAACGATTCCAAGGCTGCGTTCATGCTGACTGAGAAGGAGCATTTCCAGCACAGCGCTTGAACTGCTTGAGGCTGAAAATTGTGACTTTCAAACACTCATGACCTTCTTTGGAGAGTTGCTCCACAGGAATGAAGGCAGATTTAGAATCATCGTTCAATGTTCTACAAAGTAATGCAGGTGCCATCATCATATCTTGCAAATTAGACGCACACATCAATTATGAACAAACAAAAAATGTAAAATGATGTTAAAAATAATATTCTAAAATGATAACACAATGAAAGCAGACATATTAAAACTAATTCATTCTTTCTTCACCACGCACAGAAGACCGTCCCGCAAAAGAAGATTAACAATAATTCATTCTTTCTTCACCACGCACAGAAGACCGTCCCGCAAAAGAAGATTAACAATATATGCAATAGTTTTTGAATTTTCCTCAAAATCTTTTATCAGAATCAATCTAAACCCTCTTTTCTTTCCGAGAGGTCCCGGAGAGGGTTCAGAAACAATAATCCGTCTGAGGAAAAAGACGAAATGCAAAACATATTTTTTTCCCTTTATTATGTATGAAGACCACTTCGATCAAAAGGCTTTCTTTGTAAGCTGGAACAGAGTTGACGACGGCGCAAGCGACGCTCGCATTGCAGCTTCAATATGTGACTTTTGTTAAATTTGCCATTTCTAGCCCAAATGAGTGTAGCTGGCGCAGGAATATGGGGCAGAAACTTGTTGAAATCTGAGAAAATGTTGGGAAGTCGGTGATTTACCATGTTTAACGTGGTTCGAAACGCGCAAACAATCCGTGAAATATTTAGTTGAGTAAAGCCAAAGCACAATCTCCTTCTAATAAAAAATAACTGGTCATGATACTCACCGTAAATTCTCCATCGCATGGTGGCATCACTTTCACCAAAATTCGATAAGTTTTTGTGACTTCTTCTGGGACATACGCCGACAGTGAAATTGTCTGCATTCACTCATCAAAAGCTCAAGCAATCCTTTATTTTTTGTATAGAAATGAATCCTCACATGCTTGTATCTGAGCTTCTCGCAAACTGCAGAAAAGTTTTCCTTTTCGAGAAAATTGTTTATATGGTTCACCAAGGATATTCCTGCATTTGTTGCAACCTGTGACGTACTAAAAATTCATTATTATCTTAGGTTATATAGAAGGGCTAGTTGTATGTAAAACTAGTTCTCTTAGACATTTTCATGGTGCTCAGATGTCAAAAGCATTGTGAAAGAACAGCATGCGGAATTTGATATTATCATAAACGATTTCAAAATTTCAGCTCGACCATTCCTTAGATCTTGGCATCTTTAATCAACATACTAGTTCTCGGTAAGCGTTTTCAAGATTGTTGATCGTGTAAGTAGTACACTCAAATTGAATTTATTTGATTTCAAGATCGTTATTGACCACTGTGTTTTCAATTTATAACGCTTAGTCGCTCCCCAATCTTCCCCCTTACATAAGAAGCAACTTACCTGTTCACTTCTTTGAGAGGATAGCGGCATATACAGTATGAAAGGGGTATATAAAGATTTTTGCAAGTTCTGTGCTCTTCGGGTTGTTTCCTCAGCAACGACGATCCATGTTCTCCTTTGAAAACCATGAATTTTCGATCAGTGTAATTCACAGCTGGCTGGTACTGAAGTAGCTAGCTTTGAGTGGAAAGCACGTTTTGGTAAGTCAGTGCCTTATCGACCTACTATGGGAAGAGAGTCAAACATTACACTAATTGAAGCATCCTTCGTTTCTCTTTTGGCTGCTTCTAAAAGTTGTTCTTTTGGTCATAGAATAATAGCTAATGTTTCGAACCCATGGTTACTGATGTGTCTAATTTTGGCAATTTTTGGAATTTTTATTTCAAACTTTTGCAAGTGCATAAGAAGCGGCTAGATAGACAAAACAAAGTGCAAAGCAGTAAACTAATTAGGCATCTCAGAAAAATTCAAATTCCCAAGAATATATTATGTCACTGATTCAGAATATTACATTTCAAATTCGTCCGGTTCGATTTGAACTGCAAAAAAAAATTGTGATGACTTTATCTTCGGAGCCTTCACCATTCAGGTAGAAGGAAGACCTACAGAAAAGCTGCAGTTGCCGAGTTGCACTCTAGTTGTCCACCGTCTAATGTCTATGAGATTTTTAGATGACCAAATACTGAACTTGGTAGCATCGAATTCATTTCAAAATTTTGGAGAGCTATAGGCTGCTGCATGACGAAAGCGCAATATCTTTGAGCGCGCACACGGCTTTATTAGCCACCGAGCGCATAAGGAGCAAGATTTGCAATTTGCAACGATAAAGATCCGCGAGTGTTAGCGCTCGCGTTTGCTCAGCTAAAACTGCTTCTGTGCCTTTGTCATGCTGTAGCCCTTACGTGGAAATACCCAAGTAAATCTTATTTTGTTTACACTTTTTCTATTCGTTTCCAAAACATTCTCAAACGTCTGAAATGGATCCAGGTAATTGCCCTGGGACATGGTAAAAGCCACGAGTTCTAAATGACGGTTATTACTTTGAGGACCAAGGAGCAATTAGAAACAATGTAAAAAGAAAAAATAATATTGCATCTACGTTATGTTCAAAGCTTTCTATTGCCTTCTCCACGTGCTTTCATAATGGATCGGAAAGGCTTGAGCTTCCAGAACCGACCTAATAATATAGGGTGTCCCAAAAGTGAGTACACACTTTTTAAATTTTGATAACTCTCTTTCTACGAAGTCCTTTGCTTAGCTTCAAGTGAACTACCGGCATAGCCGGCTTCAACTTAAATGTTCAGCATAGTGCGAATCATTCATCTTGTATCACTACTGTAGGATTACGGTAGAAGTTTCCAGCAAGTAGTCATTGATCATCAATCGCCAACTCAGTTTAGCCTCATGATAAAGTTTTTGGCTTAATGTGTATCTATTCCATGGCGAACTGTAGCCCTTGATAGCAAAAAAGTCTCTCTGAAATTCCTACCGTGATTCTACACTAGCAGCATGGTAGATGACTTGCTGCGTACTTTAATTTCAAGTCACTTGCTCTACCGAATGATACTTGAATCGAATGATGAGTGATTAGAACTTGACCCAGCCTTTCCAAACAAGCTGTGAATCATCGGATTCGTCTTAAAACGCTGATTGTATATGTATGTTTGCCAGCCTCTCTCTGTCACTACGCAGCGGGTTCTGCTGGTACTTGGCAATCTCGCTGCGCCGTATTTCTTTCGTTCCACTCTGTACTGTACTCTAAATGTAAGAATTTGTTAGTGTATTTTTAATTTGCACGAAACACCTCGGTATGGCCTATGTAGATCGAGAATGATTGAGGACACAATATTGACCTCTCAATTATGCGTCCCATGCAGCAGGGGGTGAATAACGGTATTATGATGTTGGAAGTGGAAGCATTTTAGGAGGTACAGTACGTGAGAATGGATTATGGTATGAATAAAAGATAGGGGGGGGGGTGTTAGGATGTTGACTGTCATTGGATTGATATGGCGATCATGTTTGATCTTGTGGGAGTGACATTTCTGATTTTGTCGATGAACATAGCTGGTTGATGAATCTCGCTGAGAAAGGGATTAGTGCTTAGTCAAAAATGTATAGATAGAGAAACTCAATAATTAAAGTATAAGGTTGTTCGGAAATTGATGTTCGTTTTCAATTTCAACCGCAATAAGTCATAAACTACTCATTTCTGAATAAGTTGCAAAGCACCATTTGGTAGGACAAAGCAAGCTCTACGAGGTGGCTATCTTACTTTGGCAGCAGCTCTCATCCACCTTGAGTTTTGAACCAAAAACTAAAAAGATCTAGCTGCCTGAAAAATTGAGAAAAATCGTAACTAGTTTATGAAATTCCTACAAAAATGCTAACTTGCTCACGTAAACACTATCCACATAAGAGATCTAAGCCGTTGCCGCGTTTTTCCTCTGTTAAAAATCAAAAAAACAGAAATTTTCGTGCATTTGCTAAAATAATGCTGTGCTGTCCCCACAGTAGTTGTATACTACAAGCCAGTAAAAGTACAAACGTAAATTTTGAGCTCTCTACAAGCTTTACTTCTCTAGAAATCTGAATTTTGCTTTTGGCCACCTGAGTAGGAAAAGCTATATTCGATATTTCTCGAGAACTAGTGCCTGTAGAGAGCTGAAATTTTACGTTTGTACTTCTATATGTTTGTAGTATACAACTACTTGTGTGGGCACAGCACAGCATTACTTTAGCAAATGCACGAAAATTTCCGTTTTCTTGATTTCTAACAGAGAAAAGAAATGCAGCAAGGTACATAGATGTCTCATGTGGATAGTGTTTACGTGAGCAATTTAGAATTTTTGTAAAATTTTTGTCAATGAGTTACGATTTTACTCAATTTTTCAGGCAGCTAAATCTTTTTAGTTTTTGGCTCGTAACTCAAGGTGGCCGAGAGCTGCTGCCAAAGGAAGATAGCCTTGTAGAGCTTGCTTTGCTCTATCGAATGGTACTTTGCAATCTATTCATAAATGAGAGTATGACTTTTTGCGGTTGAAATTCAAAACAAACGTTGTTTGCCGGACAACCTAATAATAAGTATTGTATCTTATATATAAAGCTGAATGTCTGTTTGTGTGTGTGTGTGTGTGTGTGTGTGTGTGTGTGTGTGTGTGTGTGTGTGTGTGTGTGTGTGTGTGTGTGTGTGTGTGTGTGTGTGTGTGTGTGTGTGTGTGTGTGTGTGTGTGTGTGTGTGTGTCTGTACGTATGTTCCGAATAGAAAATTCCATTTCTGAACCGATCGGGACCAAACTTGGCACACATACACTTCGGGGCGGGGAGCGTGTCATAGGCCACTTTTCGTATCGATCGATATTTTATCGATTTTTTTGCAAAATTTGAGCTACAGGGCTGGGAGTTGGCACAGGGGGGTAATCGAGCATGCTGATTACAAATATATTATTGACAGGCCCGGGCGGAGCCGGGTTTGCCAACTAGTTCGTAATAACTATGCTTACCTATTCTTTCCTTCCCGCCAATTTTTAGCTCCAAAAATTATGCGAAGTTTAGTTCAGATCTTGTGATTTTTTCTAGCTTTTGGGCCATTCGTAACAAAATTGCTAAGCAAAATCGCCGGAAGTCAATGAACTGAAAGCGACAATAGATTGTTTTTGATGATTGCTTAGTGACCCTCGTCCGCCCGAAGGTCATGTATGCAAATGGTTTAGACTCCATAATTTTTCAAACATTTTGGGGCGGCAAAAATTTTGCAAGCAAAAGCAAAATAAAAACAATAAATCGATAAAAGCAATCGGTATGTTGCAAACAAAATCTATATATATATATTAGGTTGGTCCGAAAGTTTTGTCCCACCATTTTCAAAAAATCGTAACTCCTTCCTAACACAATGTTTTTGCAAGAATAAAACCACATTGAAAACAGCAATTCATGCACTTTTTAGAAACGTCCTGGCTGCTATCTACTAAGCTCTGAAAGCCGAGATAAAATTGGGAAAACGAAATCACTTCAAATTCGGAATTTTTAAGCAAGCCCGTTAAAAAATCTAGAACTGTGCCATAAAATCCAAAACAGCCAGTATCCTAGACTTTTTGAAAACATCTTTCTAACTGAGCAAAATTTGCGCTGATCGAGCTGTTCCCCGAAAAGATACGATTTTTTGAAAAAATGTCAAAAAATCAATTTTCTTAAGAAACTGATTTCTTGGCATTTTTTCTTGAAAATCATAACTGCTTTCAAAAGAGCTCTATCAGCGCGAATTTTGCACATATGGAAAGAGGGATCAAAAAACCTAGGATAATGCCAGGTTTGGATTTTATGGCACACTTTTGGATTTTTTAATGGGCTTGCTTAAAAATTCCGAAATTGAAGTGATTTCCTCTCTCCAATTTTATCTCTGCATTCAGAGCTTAATGAATAGCAGCCAACGTAGTTTTAGAAAGTAAATGAATTGCTCGTTTCAATATAGTTTTATCCATGCAAAAACATCGTGTCAAGAAGGAGTTACAATTTTTTGAAAATGGTGGGACAGAACTTTCGGACCAACCTAATATATAAAACTCAATGTCTGTGAGGATGTTCGTTTAATTGTTCGTTCGTTATAGAAACGCGCGCCACTGAACCGATCCGGCTGAAACTTCGCACACGTATATTTTCAACCCCGGCGGTGGTTTAGAGCTACTTTACGCGGCGATTTGTCGGGCCATTCTATCGATTTATTGATTTGTTTACTCAAACCTAAGAAAATGAAGAGCCATCATGGCAACCGATCATTTTTACATATAAGCATGTAAGCAGGGGCGGTAAATTCCACAGTCTTGAAGTTGGTAGGGTGCGGCAATTAGTCTGAAGGCGCTGTATGCGCATGTTAAAAGAAATCTAGAGGCGTAAGTTTACAAGTTCTGTTGGCTTAACTAACTTGAAGTCTCGGGTGAGACCGGGGCCACCAGCTAGTAACTTATAAACACACCAATCGTAACATGCAAACGCGTAAATGGAATGGGCTATACTCTTCTCTAGCTATTTGGTGAAATTGGACTAAAGTTGCTGATAAGACATTTTTTTTTGAAGCCCAACCTTAAAAACAATAGAAACGCGCAGCAAATTGCCGCGAAAAGTAGCCTATGCTATTTTTCGGTGTTTAGAACATTAGCGTCTTTGATCTGCGTC